CTAGTTCAGGGACTACATATGTTGTTAGCGCCAGAGTGACGTATGAGCCAACGATCTGTAAGAATTCGGATCTGCTCGAAATCGCCATTACTTGGACTTGAAATCAAAAAATTGCACACATGTCTCTTCAATTTGATCAAATGTCTCAAATCGGCGCACACGCAGGAAGTACTCCATTGAGTGGAAAAGACAATAAACCACAGTTGTTTCACCTTCGTCACCACAGATCTCCTCACCTCTTGTAGAAAGTTGCCGCTTCCAACAAAAGCGTATCAATACTTAAAACTCAATTTAGTCCATCGACATCATTTGATATCCGAGGAGTAAACCAAAGTTTGATCTACTAGAGTTTCCGTGGGAGTGCTGTCTATAGAGATATCCCTGAGATATGCCGATGAATTTACAGCAACCGATAGCGTGTGGAACAAACATAAAATTTGAATTTTTCGCTGATGCTAAGGAATTTCATCTTCGAGCTAGAATTACTCATCTTAGAGATATACCTGTTCGCTCTGTATGTGTACACTCGCGGTGCAGGTGCTTTGAAAACAGCGCTCGAATCATAAAATCTGAATTATATCGAAAATAAAAATACAATTTTCAAATATTATCGGTCATAACGTTGTAGATCAAAAAATGTACCTGCCCGCTCTGCATGCGCTGTATGTGTCCATATATCGCTCCTGATAAGAAAATTGACTGAAACGGTATTTGATCAAATTGGTAAAATCGGACTCAGTCTCTTACAAAGGATCGCTCAAACTCACCTTCCGGTCCTGGAATCCGCATCATCTGATCGATCGAAAATTGATGGTGACATGGCTTGCGAATTATATTTCCTCTTATCGTCTCCATCATTGGTCCATGTTTCTGCATCGTACGATCAAAAACGGATGGTGACATGGCTCCACGACGATTGTTTCTTGGAATCGTCTCTATCGTTCGTCTTTCCGCATCGTATGATCAAAAACGGATGGTGACATGGCTCGCGAATATTGCTTCCTCGTATTGTCTCCATCATTGGTCCATGTTTCCGCATCGTATGATCGGAAACGGATGGTGACATGGCTCCACGACGATTGTTTCTTGGAATCGTCTCTATCGTTCGTCTTTCCGCATCGTATGATCAAAAACGGATGGTGACATGGCTCGCGAATGTTGTTTTCCTCGTATTGTCTCCATCATTGGTCCATGTTTCTGCATCGTATGATCGATCAAAAACGGATGGTGACATGGCTCCACGACGATTGTTTCTTGGAATCGTCTCTATCGTTCGTCTTTCCGCATCGTATGATCAAAAACGGATGGTGACATGGCTCGCGAATATTGCTTCCTCGTATTGTCTCCATCATTGGTCCATGTTTCTGCATCGTATGATCGATCAAAAAACGGATGGTGACATGGCTCCCACCAACAACTTTTTGTTGGAACTGCCGCGGATTGTATGGTCGGTCAAAAACGGATCGTGACATGGCTCGCGACGACTGTTTGTTGCAACTGCCCCGCATTGTATGGTCGGTTAAAAACGGATGGTGACATGGCTCGCGACGCTTGTTTGTTGGAACTGTTCGAACTACACTGCAGAGAAAACCACCTGTGAAATATTGCATCAATAAGATCAATTTGAAAAATAGGTATAATATTCGCTACGTGAAAATTCACGCTATCGAATAACCAGCTGAGAGGCCACCGTATGACGCATTAGCCGTCACTGTTGCGGCAGATGCACTTGCCCACCGTACAGCGAGGAAGACGACAAAAAAAAAGCGAAGACATAAGGTGGTTGGCCCTCTCAGAACCGCGGACCAATCTTCTCCGTGTCTCTAACTCTCAACGTGACAATGCTGGGCGGTTTGCCCCAAGCACAATAATACTTCCAATACGTTTTTACGCTGAGGTTTATAGATGTTGAGGTGGTGGATCCGCGATCCCAAAATGGTTAGTAAAGGGAATCGAGTAGTGAAGTACAAAAAAATCGAAAAAAACCGGTCTTGAAAGGGCTAAAATCAAGCGCATGGAGCAAGGATTTCCCAGAACGTTCTGGTTTTTGATGCTGCATCGAATGCTAAGTATTGTGTAACACTACGTAGAAAACAAATTGTTAATGTTAGTCTAACGTCAAAATTAATACAGAGAACTCTCATTCGTCGTTGTTATTGGAAAGTTGAAGTGGGATTATGAACGAACTGTAGAAGCTTAATCTCAGTCTCTTTGTAAGAGGCTGGACGCTCACTCTGCGTGCTGTCCTAACTGATATAATTTCGAATTGTCGAGAAACTGAATGTGCAATTCTAGTGACAGTTTTCACTATACTCAGATCGACTTCGGAACGCTACTTCGTGCACTCAGAAGGTATGATATATTTGCCATCCCATCTATTCACTACAGCTATAAAGATGAAGAATTTTTATCAGGGTCAGTTACAATCAATTTCCGTTGTTCGTGCTGACACAGACTTCAACTAATGGTAGTTAAAACCTCTCTCTCTCTCTCTCTCGGAGTTGATCAAACCATGAAGTATGCGTCATACATTCGTCTTCATTTTTTAACCTCGTCTAAGGTTATTAAATGCGTATCTGGCCTTCACATTGACTCGCGGTGGCTCTCGGTGTACCGAGTCAGTGCTGCTTACACTCCCGAACAAGTCTGAGACCTGTCTAGTACCAGTTTACCGACCCCGGAGGGATTGATGGCTTGATGAGTTATGAGCGTGAGAGCAAATCACTGACCTCGTGTGCGACGCAGAGCTCTAACCACTGCGCCACATACGCACTAATTTTAGTTACAATACAAAAAAGTGTCGATTGACATTATGGTGTCTAGAAAAATAATCATATATAACAGTGGCATAGGGCTTAGTTTTGACAGACTCGGTAAAAGCTCTAATTGTCACTAAGAAAAAATAAGGAAGAGACAAAAATAAAGAGAATAAATAGGAGAAATCGAAAAAGAGAGAATGAAAGGAAAGAAAAAAAAGAGGAAAAAAAGAACGAAAGGAAAGGAATGAAGAAAGTGGGAAATGAAACGAGTTGTAGAAAATAAAGGAAAAGCAGAAAGAGAATAAGAAGGAAAGAAAGATGGAGAAACGAAGAAGCGATGAAAATGTACTAAAATCAGAGATATTAGAAGCAGAAGATGGTGAGATGACTGACACATCCAAATCTAAACACTCGACTCGTTTTTTCGTCTTGAATGGCGTAGAATAATGATCGAGTATGCCTCCTAGCAATATCGAGTATACCCTCGGTGTGGCGTTCCAAAAAGCATTCTTGTTGAATGTCGGAGAGTGTTGAGAGGTGAAGCTTAGCTCCACGCTCGTCGTGACGAGCACCACAACCACTCGGCCACGGCGTTGCCATATGTAACATCATACCACTGTTAGAAGCATTCAAGTAAGAAGAAACTAGAAATGTCACTGCTTTCAGTCCCTATAATGGGCCAGTACGAGGAATGTACGATGAACAAACGTTACCACTGAAGATTATTCCCGCGAAGAAACGAACAGTCGCCCCCAGCCTTCCTACCTTCCTGACATCTCGAAGTCGAAATTTGTGGGTGGGGGATTTAATCATTGAAAGAACATAATGGACTCAGAAAGATCTTTAATCAGATAGCTGTAAAATACTAGTGGGTTGGCAAAAACTTTCCGGAACATTTCTTTTCTGTGCAAGCTTATCGGCTTTTTTAGCAAATAAAAAACAAGAAATGATTGATCAAAATATTCCCCTTCAATTTCAATCACTTCCTCCCACTTATTCAGTAATTTCACGACTTTGAGGCGGTAAAACACGGTAGTTATGGTGGATAGTCTCAGCAGCACTCGAAACCAAATAGTACTCTTCTAGCATCAACAATCGCCTTCACCTGTCCCCCCCCCCCCCCCTCCCGATAGGATGAGATGCGGGTTCGATTGCCGCCGGAAGCGAAAAGTTTTGCACATAATGCAACATCACTGAGTACACCTATAAATATCTATAACATTATACCACCGCTATCCCCTGCATCATCTGTGGTCCTGCTGATCGCCGAGCGACTCGAGCGAATACCAGGAACACCTCCATTTTACCCTGTCACGGGCAAGAGTGACCCAGTGGGTCTTCCTCGCTCTGGAGATTAGTGATTACATTAGACTAGAGACTTCTACAGCTTCTGCCATAACTGCTGCTCGACTCTCTCTAAGGTCATTTCATATCGCTTCTCTGCTGCAGCGCATCGCAATTTCGGACGTAAGATTTCGCTTGCCTGTGGCTCGTACGATTCCATGTTGACGTATCAGCTCGAGTGTCTGCGAGGACAAGCGTCTTTTTCGAGACTTTAGGACTCTCTGATTTCATAGCGCTAAAGTGAAGAAGTGAAGGCATTCAATAAGCCGGTCGTATTGCTCGTCAATGCTGTCGACAACGGTGTCTTCCCAAGAGCCGACTAATGATTTGAATACATCCCAGTTATGGCAGTTCTGGTACTTCGTTCTTCCAAAGAACATCCGACTCCGTGCCCACGTTTTCGACTCGACGAATGTTAGTTATGGCGCAGAAATGTGCCGCTTCACACTATCTTGATTAGAGAGTTATGACATATATAAACAGCAAAATGCCTATATTTGGCATACTTGGAAAAAAATTGTAGCTGTTTTCGACGATAAAAATAAAGAAAAGAGGAAAATTAAGAAGATAAAAAGGAAGAAGGAAGGAAAGAATGAAGGGAGAAAAGAAAAAGAAGAAAAAAGGTGAGAAAGAAAACAAAGAAGGTAAGAAAGAAAGAAATGAAAGCAGCTGAAGAAAGATAAGAAAGGAAAAGGAAAAAAAAAAGGTAAGAAGTGAGAAAGATTGAAAGATATCCAGTGAAGGCGATATCGAGTGCTTTGTAGACTGTATAGAACAAGCTATTACACGACGATGTAGATCACAAACGGTATTTCGAAATTATAAGATTACTGCTATTTTCGCAGTGTTATGATGTTACTTATATAACTAAGAGAATTGAGTGGTGAACGAAAACACGGCCTCAGGCGGGAATCTAGCCCGCGTTTCATCCTATCCGAGGACACGTGCTCGACCACTACACCACCATGGCACATTTGCACGACCACTCATTCTTCGACATCTTTATGCGCCTCGGTGGTGTAGTGGTAGAGCACGCGTCCCCGGATAGGATGAAACGCGGGTTCGATTTCCGCCTGAGACCGTGTTTTCGTTCACCGCTCAGTTCTCTTAGCTATATAACAAACAATATTTGCAAAATTTTTGCAAAACTGCCGATACCGTTACCGAAAATGAAGGGTGTCTACTCTGCCACTAATACCGGGTGTTGATACGAAGCGGCTACGAGTCGATCGATACCGCTGCTGTCGCTGTAATCGACCTTACGATTGGAGCGCACAATCTCCACAAGATTTTCGTAATGAATTTAAGACTTTTTTCATCAGTAAAAAAAATTTTGTCATTAGCAAATGATGAAATTTGGAAAGGAAACCTCAGTAAGGGTATTTTTGGTTGAAATATACCAAAACAATCGTGAGATGTTCGTCATCAAAGCTGATACTGCACATTGCAATACGGTGCTATATCGTGGTCAATTTGGAAAAACTTTTTGTTATTAATGTGCTTTAAGGGCTGGAGCTTGTACATAGTTGTATAGGAGGCTTCGTTCTATCGTCTTATGGGTGTAACTATATGCATGTATATATGTGCATAGTATGTGTGTATGTTGGCGTGTACGTGTATATAAGCATATATATATATATATATATGTGTATATGTGCATACATATGGGGACACCGTGGCCGAGTAGTTGTGGTGCTCGTCGCGGCGCGCGTGAAGCGAGTTTCATTCCTCAACTTTCCGGCAGTAAACAACAACGCCCTATGAAGCGCCGCAGCTAGGTTCCCCTCAGGTTTGCAGACTTGCTCAACGAGTATGTACTGGCTGCTCAGTAGTGAGCTTGGGCTAGTTTTAAGCACCGTGAGTTACTAACTCAAAGTAGAATGCTCTCTTTTGCCCGAGTTTGCCACGCGGGACTTTTACGAAGAACAGTTAACGCTTGAATTATAACTGTTAATAGCAATAATGACATTACAGTATAAGCGAGCCGACGGTATATAGTTAAGCAAGTAGATACGAAGCTGTACTGTTAACTGGAATACTGGAAGGCACGAAATTAGCGGAACATTGCTCAGAGGATATTGCCGTCGCTTGATCCCTTGACTCACTATATATGGAACGATGACAAACAGTCTCGCCAACCGAAAATAGAAACAGTATTGTAGATAACAAGTGTGAGCACAAAGAGCTCAAAGGATTAATGGAGAATATCCGATGGTGAGAAGCTTAAAAAGTTGCAAGCAGACGCTACGATGAAAATGAAACAAAGGAGTCTCTACTGTACTCACTTGGAAGCAATTTTATCGTATCTAGGAGCACACATTCAGTATAACTTCGTGTGATCAGTTAACGTAAATGTTTGAGAACATTAAGTCAAAATAGCAACGATTAGGTATGACAGTTGATGCTGGAGGTACATAATGATAGAGAAACAGTAGCTATGGGACAAGTGGGTCTCGAACTCACATTTCACCCTATCCGGGGCGCATGTTCGAGCCCTTGCAATATCCTATCTCTGGGTACATCAATACAACATACAAGCGCCAAACGCGGTCAAATATAATAAATCTGTCTGATCATCAACACCCAATAGCTGTAAGTATGAGTGGGTTAAATGTCTCCTGCGACTACCCACGCAATGTTTGACTGCTGACACATAGATGCGTTGCAGCGTAGAAAGAGTGGTGTTAAAACGGGCGTCGGTAGTGCAACAGTTTCAATACGCGTTCCCGGATAAGGTGAAATGTGGGTTCGAGTCCCAGCTGAAGCAGAATTTCTGCATATCACTCTACATACTGGGTATATTAGTACATCATACCTCCGCTAAACACGGTCAAATAGAAAAAATTCTGCTTGATCATCAATATTCGGAAAATAGTTGCTATAGGTCCTTTGCGATGAGGATGACATGTTAGTCTGCATCACCGCTGGGGAAACCGCTATGACTCATTGCTTGATAATGCTCATTTATTACAAGTAGAATATTAAGCATTCGATGATGTGCGATAAAATCATGACTGACAGGGAGAATAGTAGTTATTCAAGGGAATAACTGTCATACTACCGTTCCGCAAAGATACTCACGGAATTCTTATTTCGTTCAAATGACATGGATACTTTACGACATATTTTTCATGAAATTACGATTTCTTGCGGTCCAGTCTTGATTGTTTGTAGTGCAAGGAATTCACCACGAGGATGCTTGCACTCGTTGAGTTCACTGTCGAATTACTCATATCTGTCGGCGAATGCCTCGTTGCTCTTCCTGACGAGATTGTTATCCTGTTCTTGGAATACACAAGAGTGTCTGTGTGCTCCATTGCCTGTGCGATTTGCATGCATGTGACTTCGCTGTTGAGATGCTGCCTAGACCTTAGTATCCATGGAGGAAATTCATACTCATCGTCTTCCTTCTCTATGTTGGTAATATCGCTTTTAACTTCATTATCATCCAAACTTTTTTCGGACCTTCATCTTCTTCCCGGCGTTAAGCAAAACTAATGGAATAGCGGGTGCATTGTATTTTAGAAGATCGCCCTCTAGCGATTCTCCATCATCAGTGTCATGGGATGAATCGTCTGTCTCTTCTGTGTCGTAAATATCGACTTTGATTTTTCGTTGATGGTCTTTAGTTTCGTTGCATTTTCCCTGCTCCTTTGAGCAAAAGTCGGGAATAATGGTTCATTACATATTGTGATTCTTTATCACCACTACAATGAAATAGGCTGTCGTTTTTTTGCACTGATCATCTTGATCTTCATGAGTTGGTTGACAGATATTGTGTAGAACGAAATTGTCTAGGCTTTGCTGCAGTTGCAACCGCGCGTTGCGACACTATGTTTTCCCACGGTGATTTTGCCTTTTTGGAGCTTACATCATCGATCGTGGACGGGCTTGTCTTCCTTCCCTTTGTGGAGGTTTTCGGCTTTGTGGAAGGTGTCGGTTCGTTCCGTAGTCGTTCTGCACACAGATTGACGTGTGGTGTCCGTGCTTTCTACGCGCACGGCATGGGCCTGCTCTGCACTCGGGAAACGATGATACGATGAATTGCAATTGAAGCCAGATTACGATATTTCATCACTTGCACTATTTTTGCTGAGTTTTTATCGTAAACCAGTCAATGGGTAAGAAATGTTTTGGCTGTCTGTAGAGGGCTTCGGGTTAGTCATCTGCCTAGTCGTACTAAAAGTATAAATACAGTTTACTCATGAAAATCTTTGAAGGCTCTTGTGTATTTTCTCTGACTGACAGTTTGATGTATTTCTATGCGCATTTGTTGGTAACGTAGGTATGCTTAACTGGATTTGAACAGTCAGCTCTTGGGTTATGTATTCCTAAATTCCTTGGAGGTGCTTCTCTGTCTTGCATATCTCATTCGCCTCGCATTATTATTCTCTAGGTGTGTCCGCCGAAATTCATTCTGAACTTCTTTAGAAGCTGTTGTTGCTGATACATGTTATCGACCTGCTCTCCTTTGTGATATAATTGAATGACTATCGAGTGGAGAGTTTCTCGGAAGGTTTCTTGATTTTCTTGTCGATTACTGTCTGTTCGTATTTTGTGTAAGCTCCAGTAACTGATTCATTAGGACTTATCTCTGCTATATTTGGCCTTTAGATAATGAATCATTTATTTTCACCACTGGATATGACGCTCGCTATATTTCGCATTGTTTTACAAACGATTTAGCTTTTTCATGGCAAAAGTTCAATAAGTATCTCAATTTCGAAGTGAACGCCTACTTGCTTTCAACGGACAAAGTGCTCGAATGTCCTAGAATGCTTTTGTGATTCAGTAGTGAGAATGTTCATCCTGCCACGCGAAAGACTCGGGTTCGACTCTCCGCCAGTGCACCAGATGTGCTCACGAAGAATCGTTAGCTACTGAATAGGGACGCTCTAGCTGTTTAGAGCTTTTTAGCTTTTTTCAGTTGAATCAGAAACTTTCTTCAAATCCATGGAAGTGAAACAGACGGTTTTACTGTACACTTGTGAACCTCAAATGAGTCTTGTTATCGCGTTGATGTAGACTGAGCGTTTTGAAAAACTTGCTTATTCTAATATTGTCCTTCGTCCAGTGATCTGTCAGTCCTGTCCAGAATGACTCCAGTAAGAGTTTATAGACGACGGATAGCGAGCAGATTCGGCATTAGTTGATGTTGTAGGGATTTCCCTTTTCAAGTAATAACATGGTCCTGCTGATTTCCATTGACTGAGAACCTCAATTTTAACAATGTAAAGAGTGAAGAGCAAAGTAAATGTTCTGCTGAGAATCAGCAAAAGGTTACTCAAATGTTCTGGTCCTTATGCTCTCTGGACAAGATGTTATTCTATTGCTCGTCGACGAGATAGCGTATCGAATTCCTGAAGAGAGAACGGGTAAAACAAATTCATGCTCTTTTATTTCATATGGCAGAGAGAGAGTCGTTTCTATTGAAAAGATCCGCGTGGCAATCTAAGAATGATTTTCTCCAATGTCTTTCCGAAAACTGGAAGTGCTCCATCGGGACATCGCAATCCATACATTATGGTCTTCTGACTAGTGAGCCCCGTTAAGTCTTGAAAATGCTTTTCCCAGCTTCTGCGGTTTTGGCCATTATTGCTGCTTTTCTTTCACCCAAATCTTCCTTTATCGCATCTCTGCACCGCTTTGCACTTCCGTAAATAAGTTTTCGAGTGCCTGCTGCTCATAAGATTCTACAGGTGGCTTGTTAGCTTATGTGTTTGTGGATACAAACGTCTCTTAATGACCTCAGAACTCTCGGCTTTCATAGCGCTAACGTCAAGATGTTAGATGAGCTAGTAGTATTCTTCGTGGATGTTAGTAGTGACGGTATCTTCCCATAGAGCCGACTAATGATTTCAATACATCTCAGTTTATTGCAGTTTTAGAAAATCGTTATTCAAATTCAGCTGTTTTCTCTCGTTTTGGCAAGAAGTAAAATGTTGCGTAAAGGAGGTTAAGGTCTGAATCAGTGTAAAATTTTTGAACAACAGCGGTACCAGTTGAGCAAAATCTTCAATTTACTAAGAAATGGTCTGTTCCTTTACGGTACTCTTCATCAGGAGTCCGCTTATCCACCATTGAGAGCGAGGTAGTTGGAATTGTAAATTACCATGGGTGGTTCTGGTAGTCAAGATAAACTCAGATAATCTCTCTCCCCGTTTGTTTCAATCTAGTCCGCGTGTAGCAATGTGGCGCTTTCATGGTGTCTCTCTAAGCCCAATTCCAGCGTTCAGAAACTCCAGCGATATCATGGAGAATGTACGGTCTTCACTAAAGATTTCTTGGGTCTTCATAGAGCGCTTCAACGTCGCTTTTGTCATAGTTTGATGTTAGTACGTGAGCAACGAAAATGGTGAAGCCGACATTGATACACATCGTTCTAACCGTAATCATCCGATCAGAATTATCAACTGTTCAAATGTGTCGATGTTGATAGTTAAATTCGTTTTGACAAGAGCGCCTCTCCAATCGCATGTTCAAAAAACAGTTCCTTCACGATGTGATAAACATAGTAGAAAAGGTGCCGTCTTCTCGTCCCACCCAGGCCAATGACGTCGCACTTGATCCTTATTGATTGAATTATAAGATATTTTAGAGAAATCGTATACAGCGGTACGTGCGTTAAATGAGGAGAGTCAATTAAGTTTTTTTGATTTTGGCAGCCTAGTATCGCCTTGAAATTTCGGGAACCTCTCCCTAATTATCATTTAGAGACTACCATACAAAAAACTCTCTCGGGGTCGGCGGAATGAGTCCCATTCTAAAACTGTTTTTACCTTCGTCATTCAAGGCATTTCTTGCTGAGCTCTGCACGTGGGGAATGAGTATTCACAAGTATCTTGCCAGTCTCTGGCTAAGCGATGGGAACAGCTTTTTTGTTGAAAGCGACTGCGAAACCTCCTACCACATACTTCCCAGCGCTTTATTGCAGGTCTTTGGCCAATTTGACTCTTAGAGATAGAGGTCTGTCAAATGGGCGCTGCAGAGATAGGAAGTGAGCCCCTGAATCCACATGCGTCCTTGGCAAGCACACAGACGCTTTTAGCTCGCGTTTCACCCTTTCAGGACCACCAGTTGTATTCGCCATGCGCAGTGCAAATAATAGCCAAAAGCAATTTCTGTTATTTGGTTAGAATTTATTCACCGCTTTGAATGTAAATTTAAGGCTCTTTGTAATTTTAAAAAAGGTTACGATTTTCTCTACACACTGGCATGCTCTTGATGCAAATATAACGTTTATGTTTGAATAAAAATCTCACTCCTACTGCGCAATTATAGTGATGTTGACATTCTGTCAGTTGTAATGCCTTGCAAAATGAATATAATGGTATCAATTTATCACTTTTAGTCTATTACATATAATACTATAAAGATATAATTGCGAGTGAAAAATGGAAAATAATGAATAGTTTGTCAAAAATGATGTTGCATAGTGCATACGATGCCAAGTCACCGAGAAGAAAGCATAAAAAAAATATTTCAGAATCAAGTCTTATTCGCTGCACAAAGTCTTCCCCCTAGAGTTTCAACAGTCAATCGACTGCTCAAATCCTGGTAGTCAAAATGCTTTACTTAGCTTCCAAAAAAGTTTTGTAGCGTGCTGTAACAACGACAGTAGGACCATACTTTACACCCGGCATTCTTTGTTTGTTCGTGGCTTGTGTTTGTACAGCTTTTCTTCCATTATCTGATTAGTTTTCTATTCAGAGTTTAGAGCCAATTTGATACATAAATCATGGCAATTCAAAGACATAATTTTTTTTCAAAAGGTTTTCTATGGCTGTCGTAAGAGCAACAGAAAATATTTTGTTAACCTTTAGAGTTTTCTGCGCACATAATAAATGTACATGCACCAAAAGCGTAAGAGCATGTAGAGGCAATCCTATTGTATCTGAACATAAGAATAAGTCTGGTTTTTTTTTCTTGCGACAGATGCAAAATTTTTAAGTGAATAACCAAAACTGCGCCCCTTCTGATAGCGCTGCGCGTAGCGATTTTAGTTAGCGCTCCGAGAAGTACGATATTCGTTATTCATTTGGAAATTTTCTCCGTTTCGGAAAAATTTTCAAGTCTAACGTAATTATGGAAAAGACATTGCTTGATCGTTCTAATGGTATCAGCTTTTTATTTTCTTTCTCCATAGCAAATGGCTGTCTAATTGTCGTTAGATTTTTAGAAACCATATACAGACGCCAGCTCTGCATATACGTCGGTGGTAAAACGTATTTTCATTTCGCTATTGCTACATCGAATGAAAAAGTTCTTTATAGAAAACGTATGATACTACAACTAACATTTTTCGAATTATACAAAGATTATTGAAACTTTGATAAAAACATCTTGCCGGCGAAATTCAAGCAACACGATGAGAAACAAAAAGCTGTAGAGATGCCTGTTGAAGTGGCAGTCGGAGGACGTGAGGCCTGGCGAATCTGAAAAATGAGGCAAGAGTTCGTAGCACATTTCGTCCAACTTTTGGAGCTTTCGTTTGCCACGTGCGGCTGTCGGCTGGCTGTAATTAAACCGCCATTACTTTTGGTCCAAATTTTCCACCCTCCTAATCTGCTTCTTTTACGGTCGGTCAATATGTTCTTCATCTTCACAGCTCTCATCTACTTTACGACAGTTCTTGGACCACAGCTGCTATCTACGTTCCCTAGCAAATCAATGGGCTACATGCGCTAATGATGTTATAGGTTGTTTCTGCTTCTTACGACTCATTTTAAACTCACGACCTGAAAACAACCAACTCTTTTGCACCTATTGATGTCTTTTCCACAGTCCAAAATGATTATGCCATAAACAGCAAGTAAAACATCATTAGCACAAAACATGGTGCAGGAAATAGGCTCTAAAATGGCATATAACATTACTGTAATCATTTGAGAATTTATTACAGTAATAACCGACACATCTCAACAACGCATAAACTACCATTAAATTTGCAGCAGCCTAATAGAAAGCACTGCTTTAGCAAGGGCGCCGGTCACATGTATTTTTGTGAACGAACAGCAACAATGTCTTCAAAGATTTGTGATCAAATTAGCTCTACTGATATAAACCTCGACTGATGCCTCACTTATTAACGTGATAGATGGGCAGTGTGCTAAGAGTAATTATGTAACATTTGAGCAAATTTTAGGTTTGAAATTGGATTTCAAAGTATTTGTAGCAGATTTATGGCGTCGTGCATCGATCTCAATACGTCGGCGATAAAGAAAAATGATCTATATCTCCAGTGTAGAAAACCTGTCGTGTAATTGAGAAATGTGATTAAACAAGAGGTGTTTTATCATTTATTCCAATTTGTGAGGGTTCACTGCGGTCACAACGCCACGAGTGGATTCTTACTTTAAAGTCGGCATGACGCTATTTTGTCATTATTTGATTCCCAAGGAGCTGTGTGATTGAACAAGAAGAGTTTGTCCTCAAGCCTTCCCACATGGGGGCGCTTCCATATACGGTTCTTCTGTTGAAGTTATAAATCTAAAAAAACGCTAGTAGTCTTAACCAAAAATTAACTGTAATAATAATAATAATTTTGCTGATGTTAGTATAGTTAGTATTATCCACCTCACTGATCTTTTCCATTCTTACGCGCTTTTAAAATAGCTATTATTCGCCCCATTGTAAGATGCTCAATGAAGAAAGACAAACTTTCTGTACGTTTTAGAAAAAAACCTTGAATGGTTAACAGATGCAAAATATTAAAAAAAGATTACTTCCTCAAAGGCCCTGCGCATTCAGTCATTATGCAATATAGAAAAAAGTTATATGGTTTTTTGGGGTATGCAAAAATCTGTCTGGCCTAATTATGTTGCAAATCAGTGCTTCTCATCCTCCTAGA